TTTCCCCAGGATCATTTTCCCTCGGATGAACACACCCACTCTGGAAAACTCTGGCAGCTAGTCCTGTAGCCACTTGAGTTCTCTCTCTAATCTTGCTTCCCTCCAAACCATTCTCCTCAGTTCTGGCTAAAATAAGTTTCGTATTATGTCACTTACCCTTCCCTGGCTCACTATGTCAACAAGATGCAGCCCAAACTCTGTCATGGCCTTGGGTCATGACTTCAGTTCTCCAAAATAGATTTGATATTCATTTCTCAGAGGTCTGTATATAATGTATATTAAATATTCAATAACACAATTAAATATATTGAAATTATGCAAAAGCTCACCAAACCCTGTTCAACTGCAGGGGTGAGGAACATCGGGCCTGAGGGCAGTATAAGGCCCTAGGTGTCATTTGGTCTGGCTCTGCCAAGGCATTAGGGGTGAGTTAATTAAACGTTTGACCAAATACAAAAGGCTAATTTTTAAGTTGATAATTTTGTATGGCCCGTGAGGGATGCCATAAATATATAAATGCCATTGGCAGAAAAAAGGTTCCCCACCTCTGGTTTAAGGTCTTTAAAACTGTTTTAAACATGAAACGATGAAACAAAATCTTTCTGCTGGTACTTTTGCAATAGCCCCCTTCAAACTGACTCAGAGGCCAATGTTCTTTATTCTAAATTCCATCCAGCGGGGGTTTGAGGGGCTGCAGTGCTTAGCGATTTGGCTGGTAAACTGCCTAGCAGACTCCTAGGCATGTCATTACCTCTGAATCATCTGCCTGCTCTAAACCAGCCGAGGCGACAGTGTGAGCCCTCCTGCCTTTTCCTTCCCTTTTTAAAAATGCTCCGTTTATTCAGCCACTGTGGACTGAGGGCCTACACATTGGTACCATCTTAGGTACACCGGCGTTATCAACGTAGCTAAGGCAGGGAACGGGATTCTCAGCTACCAAGGCATGTGTTCATGTTAGGCAGGTAGTATCTGTAAGCCAAAAACAGTGCTGCATATTCTGTCCCTGCCCAGCAGTGGACTAGACACTGGAGGATTTGAGAGAGGGATCTGAGAAAAGTAACCTTTCCTGCCTTTAAGGAGCTGTACTCCCTGAAGGAAATAAGATTCACACATAAATCAGAGACTGGTTTGCAGTGTGCATGTGGTACAGGCATGAAGTGCTGTAGCGAGGAGGAGCGTGAGATCTGGAGGAGCACTGTTCTTGAGTGGATTCGGAGAAAGGACCTTTGTACAGCCCGCGTGTGTGAGGACATATATAAAACTTCCAACAATAAAGATTTTATTAAAAAATATTTACACAGAGGCTAAATTAAAAACCACAGAGAATTTTGTAAATTCTTTTAACAAGTTATATAAAATCTCATTTGAAAAGAAAGCTGGCATTTGGATTCTAATCATTTTATTAACCAAAAAAGTAAATAATTCATTTTCTTAAAATAAATGATAAATCACTCTGCTTTACAAATCTGGACCCAATAGAAACATGGGTCTGATGTTTCACCAGCCATCCTCCGAAGAGGAAACCCAGGAAACACGGAACCGTGCGCTTCCTCCCTGTGATCAGAGAAATGCAAGTTCAGGCTAAAATGGCTAATCATTTCATACTCAGGAAATTAGCAAAAATTGTGCAGGTGTCATATAAAATGTTGGCAAGAATGTAGAGCAGTGGGACTTTCAAACTTCCTATGGAAATGGAAACCGGTGGGGACACTTGGAACACAGGTTAGGGTCATTTTGAAGATGTGCATATTCTGAACCCCAGAAGTGCCACCTCTTGGTGATGACATTACAGGAAAATCCTTGCTTGTATTTATTAGGCAACATGTTTAATGTACTGTCACTTATAATAGCCTCAGAAACCGGAAAACAATCTAAATATCCTTCAGTGAAATCCTACAGTGGAAGTAAAACTTATATGTGAACAAATTTCAAAAACATGTCAATGAAAAAAACAAGTTAAAAAATGAAGCTTATTAAATACAAAAACCTAAAGAACATATTCTCTATTTTTATGGTATAAGACTAGCATAGAAAAGGAATAAGGTGAGTAGATAAATACAGGACGTTTCAATTATTTTTATAATTTATTTGTTAAACTGGGTGTTAGATACGTGAGTGTTCTTCATATGTCATTCAATGTGACTTTTTTATACCTGAGACATTTTATTAAACAAAAAATAACTCACTTTTTTCTTTTTCAAAATGGTCTAGTCACCAAATACCTTTTGCCAATAATTCTATTAAATAATTTATATGTCACAGTAAATATACTAAGGAAAATTACTTTGAAATAAGATAGCTCTTACTGCATCCTTTTTAGTCATCTCTGGCTGCCAGAACAAAGTACCACAGACAGGGAGACTTAAATGACAGAATTTAATTTTGGTCACAGTCCCCCATCAAGGAGCCAACAGGGTGCGGTGAGGGAGCTCCCTGTGGGCTGCAGTCGCCCCTTTGTTCTGTGTCCTCGCGTAGCCTTTTTTGGTGCCTGGGCCCAGAGAGTGTGCTATTGGTGGTGTCTGTTCTTACACGGACACTAGTTCTATTGCATCAGAGCCCTGCTCTTATGACCTCAACTACCTGAATTAGTTCCTCAGAAGCCCCATCTGCAGATACAGCCACACTGGGCTTCAACATATGAATCTTGGAGGAACACAACCTTCAGTCCATTACCTAGTCTGTATTCTCTTTGGAGAAAGAAAGAGAAAGATGAATGAGAAGTTGTAAATAAAAGCTACCTGAAACATTTTTTCATTTGTGTTCTGTATTATTAGTGTACAAATGACAGGGTTGGAGATATAGACCCCTTTGTAATATCTCAAAATAGCGCCCCCCCCCCCCGCCCACATTCTTTCTGGAACTTATCTAGGTGTCTTGTTTGGGTTAGTTGGTATTTAAAAATAAGTCTTATCATCTTTGAATCACTCTGCTATTCCTGCCACCACTGTTCATTTTCTAATCATGTTCTCTGCTTTTTATTTTTTACGAGGGGCCCAGTGCACTAAATTCGTGCACTGAGGAGGTGTCCCTCTGCCCAGCCTGCCCCCTCTCACATACTGGGAACCTTCAGGAGATGTCCTACTGATGGCTTAGTCTAAGCCGCAGTCTGGACTCTTTTTGTGGGAGGTGACCATGGGCTGATCATGGGAAGGTGCCAGCCCCATCTCCTCGCTGCTGCAGCCACTGCCAGTCACTGCAGCCGCCAAGGTGTTTTCAACAACACGAACTCCAGTCCCTTCACCATGAAAAAATGACAACTTTCTTTAGGCATTTTCAAGATGTCTTTCATAGGATATGACATTCCTTTCTTTATTTTTCTTTTTATCCTCACCTGAGGATATGTTTCCATTGATTTTTTTTTCCCCTTCTCTCCAATCATAGATTCAGCCCCTGCCCAAGCCTAAAGCCTCCCCAACCAGGCTTTAGGCTTGGGAAGGGGGCCCCCCAGCCCCTCTGATCGCAGGCTTGGGCCCCCCATCCCAGTCCCTACAATGGCTGGCTGAGAGTGACATGGGTGCTGAGGAGGTTCCCGGGACCCAGGTATGTATGCAAATTAACCTCCATCTTTGTTATGTTAATTTGCATACTCACTCTGATTGGCTGTGGGTGTAGCTGAGATATGGTCAGTGTACATGTTTCTCTATTATTAAGTAGCATGTTTTAATATATTTTTATTTCAGAGAGGAGAGAGAAATAGAAATATCAATGATGAGAGAGAATCATTGATTGGCTGCCTCCTGCATGCCCTCCTCTAGGGATTGAGCCTGAAACCCCACATGTGCTCTGACCAGGAATCAAACCGTGACCTCCTGGTTCATAGGTTGACCCTCAACCACTGAGCCACATCAGCGGGACATTTTTTGCTTTTTAAAATGCTTCATTGTTCTCTTCTATTTTTATGGTTTTTAACTTGGATTTTTTTTTCCCCTTGTTTGGCGTTTAGAAGGTGCATGATAACAAATCCTGAAGGCATTATATTGTACATGACTCATAATTTCTTAATATCTTTTTAAATTTACAATGATGCCATATAATCTTAATTAGTGTCAATAATTATTCCTTTTTGGCAGTCTTTTTAATCTACTCATCTAGAATAAAATGTTTATATTGTATTTTGAAATTATGTTTCATCAGCTCCCTTTCATTTGCTTTCATCCATTTCTTACTGTAATGTGAAATTTATACTCAACAAGAATTTGGATCATTATATGTGAAAGTGGAATAGTAAACAAAGCAATCGTGCAATTATAGGAATGCAGGAGAATTCCGATCTATTTGTTTTATTTTTTTAAATGCTGCTAGAGGGTTTGATAGTGTCTCTTGCTAGGTAGCTTATTCCTAAAGTGATATAAATGGTCCCCCTAGAATGGAAAGTCTTTGACATAGTATCAGTCATGTTGCATTGTCACATGATGCCTGCAATAGCATTGTTCGGGCAGCAACCATTCTATAGGTACATTTTAATTGAGTATTTTGGATCAATAAAATTGAAGGACATCAGAACATGTACTACTTTGGAGAGAAAAGGCTTAGATTGCGGCATTTTTTAGAATATCTGGTAGCTCTCAGAGAGTTATTTCGTAGTGGCTTTGCTTATTTCGGATAGGTTCCGCGGTCACTGACAGGTGGAGAAACCAGCAGCATTGCTGAGTGGCCTGCAGTGGAGAAGCCACACTGCGTGGCCCTCGGGTCAGGCGCCTACCTGCTTGGCAGTGCTTTGCGTGTTGGAGTATCGCAGGAGGCAGTGTGTCAGCTCTGTGACAGTTACTCCGATAAAGGCTCTGAAAGCCTTTTGTCCTGTGACAGGGGCTGGGGAGAGAGGCCGGCCTCAGTTGCCATTTTGGCAAAGGTACCTGGGAACCGGCCTCTGGCTTGAGAGAGGCGGTAAGATGCTACAGCCGAGGCTCGCGGGACGGTATCAGTGAATTAAAGTCATTCATCAGAAGGGATTTCTTTACTGATTTATGTTCAGACATTAAATGGCTTCCTATTTCCTGCAGGAGGAACAGCTGAAGTCACATGAGAGCAAGCTGAAGCAGATTACCACCGAGCTGGCCGAGCACCGCTCGTACCCCCCGGACAAGAAGGTGAAGGCCAAGGAGATAGATGAGTACAAGCTGAAAGATCACTACCTGGAGTTTGAGGTGTGTGGGCCCCGAGTGTAATAAAAGCCTGTGCCTGAGCTGTTTTATGATTTTCCCACGAGGCGTTGTTTTTCACAGTGACTGTAACTGGGACGTGTGCCTCAGGCATGGTCTAGGTCTCATGGCTCCTTGTGTTTATGATTCTATTTAAGCATCAAACAAACATCAAGGATAACTGTCAGTCTGTGTCTGGTTGGAAGGGCCTGCTGTGAGGAGAGGCAGCAGCAGTAGATGGGCATGCTGGGGTGGGCGGCTGCTCTCTATGTCTCTGTGTCTTTCAAGAGAGTTGAGTCCAAAGAAAGCACAGTAGGGAAACTGAGATACAGGGTGGCATAAGCGTCAGCTCTCTCCTGCCATCAGGCAGCACCAGTGCTCTTCCTCCCCCACTCGGTGCCCTTCAGACGGAGACTGGCAATGTGGCTCATCCCTGCATATCCATGTGCTATAGGCAGTGTGGTTATTAAAAAGATTGGGAGGATCCATAAACTCTGGAGGGTGGGACATTTAAAAACCAGTTGAAAGCAGTATATACAGTAAATGTTACCTGCGGCTAAAGTTTCTCTCAAATTAACCAGTGCCAGGTTGTACAGAATCAACCTTTCGCTCTCCTTTCAGCTGCAACTTTTCAACATTCAATGTCTTCCCCCCACACACACTATTTTTTTTTTCTGTTGGGTGTGCTGAATCTATCTTTAGCTACTATTTTCACTGTAGTTCTAGTTGACTTTATTTCCCATCATTCATCTTCATTTCCAGCCTTTTCCTCCTTGGTCTTAGAACTTAGACTCACCTGAGCATCCTTGTCCGGGCCCTTGCAGTCCTCCAGACCTAATCGGGACCAGGTCCAGCTGCATCGGCAGCATCTTACGTGTCATTTCCTCGCCTTTGCTGGTGTGCATCCTCCGCTCAAGTCCTAGGTCATTCATTTCGCACCTGAACCTGGCCACTGTGCCTGTGTCTCTGCAGCTCGTCCTATATACACCTCATGGTTTGTTTTTTTCCTGAGGCTCAACCCACATGACGGCATTCCTCTGTCAACAGCTGCCCTAGATTTTTCTCCTAGATCTCCCCCTATCATTTGCCTTCTCAATATAGTCTCAGTCCTTTTTGTTTTTAATTTATCTTCCAATTACAGTTGACAAGCAGTATTATATTAGTCTCAGGTGTGCAACATAGTGGTTAGACATTGACATAAATTACAAAGTGATCACCACAATAAGTCTACTACCCATCTGGCATCATACATAGTTATTACAATATTATTTACTACTAGAGGCCTGGTGCACGAAAATTCGCGCACTCTGGGGGGGCGGGGGGGGAGTCTCTCAGCCCAGCCTGCATGCTCTCATAATCCACAACCCCTTGGGCAGGGTCCAGTCCCATCGCAGCATGGTTCTGGTTCCCCGGAGCCTGTGGGCAGGGGTAGGTACCCAGAGGCCAGTGCAATGGCAGCATGGCTTTGTTCCCACAGCTCCCTCCCACCATTGCGCCATGGGCAGCTGGGGCCCACATCTCCCTTCCACCGCTGAGCGGTGGGACCCACGACTGACGCCCTCCATGCTGGCCGGGACCGTAGCCTGGTGTTCGGTCATCTGTCCATTAGTTTAGGTCATGACGGACCCTGGCTCTTTATATATTAGGATAGTTGCTATGCTGTGCTTTAGATCCCTGTGATTATTTTTATAACTGGCAATTTATATTCCTTAATCCCTTTGCCTTTTCTGCCTACTCCCTAGACTCACTCCCATCTGGTAACCATCAGTTTGTTCTTTGTATTTATGAGTTTGTTTCTGTTTTGTTTGCTTTTTTTTTTTTTTAGAGTCCACATATAAGTGCCATTATACAGTATTTGTCTTTCTCTGATTTATTTCACTTAGCATAATACCCTCTAGGTTCATCATGTTGTCACAGTGGCAAGTTTTCATTCTTTTTTTTTCTTCTTTTCTTTTTTATGGCTGAGTAGTAATATTCCACTATCTAAATGTACCACATCTTCTTTATCCACTTGTCTACTGATGGACACTTAGGTTATTTCACATCTTGGCTGTTGTAAGCAACGCTGCAGTGAACATAGGGAATGCATATGCCTTTTCAAATTAGTGTTTTCTGTTTCTTCAAATTCCCTCCAGGAGGGAATTGCTGAGTCATATGGTAGTTCCATTTTTAATTTTTTGAGGAACCTCCATACTGTTTTCCATAGTGGCTGCCCTGATGTACAGTCCCACCAGCAGTGCACGAGGGTTTCCTCTTCTCCACATCCTTGCCAACACTTGTTTATTGATTTCAAAGCCCCAGTCCTTAATCTGAGAGGGTTTGGGCTCCTTCTGTCTTTCCACAACATCCGGTCTTTCCTCAACAGCCTCTATGTCTACCAGTCACATTTCTGCCCGCTCTCTCCAGCACACTCCTATGCCTTTGTTCATCTACTTCCTTCTGCCCCAAACGCCCTTCCCCTCATCTCCGTTTGAGAAAGTCTCTTCATCTTTCAGATGCAGCCACATCCCTCCTGTGAAAAGCCTGCTCCCAGCTTGCAAGTGGATTTATTACTCTGTCGTAGTCCCACCACAGTTGACCTCTGTTCCAGTTATTTATTTCACTGACATCTGTAGTGGGTTCTGTACCTCCCCTGCCCAGGCCAGTGAGCCTTTCGAGAGCAGGGACCTCTTTGCTCTGTGCTTGCATGTTGAATTGAACAGGATTTCGTGGAAGATTAAAAGTCTTCTCCTGAGTTATAAAATGTGCCCTTGGAGTCACCGTGGACCCGTGTGCTAGTTTTCTTCATGGCCGGCAAGTCCTTTCAGTAAATGTAAAAGTTTATTCGCACACACTGTTGGAAGCCGTACCAACAAAACACTTGAACAAGTATTTTCTAAAAAGATAAGCAAAATTCTAAGCAGCTCATCTTTCCCTGGGCTTGCTCCTTTCTGGGAAAAGGAGTTCTCAAAAAGCAATCATAGTCTTCACACCTCTAGAATGTCTTTCAGCTCAGGGGCCCTCCTGGTTTCACACATGCTAATTAAATTTTCCAACACCTCCATCCCTGGCTTCCAGCCCTCCTCACCTTGCCTGGTGCCCTTGACCAAGGCTGAGAGCTGCCCCAGGAGGTGGGGACGGCCACAGACCATGGAAAGGTTGCCACTGTGGAAGCACTTCCTGCTCTGCAATCTGCTCTCTGAGCAGGTAACCCAGCAGGAGCCAGCATTTTCATCTCCTGACCTGAACTTAGACCACGCTTTGTGGGGACAAGTCTTGCTTTCATCAAAGTGTTGCATTCCAGAGCCCTTGGCTCATTAAATCAGACTCTTGTGCTCGTGTTGGGCACGTTGGCTTGTCTGTCAGGGCGCCTAACCTGTGTACCAGGAGGGAGGGAGGGTACCTCACTTTATAGATGTTACCTGGAAAGGTTTTTGTAAAAGTAATTGCTTTGTAAAACGGCATTGTTATTTTTCATTCATATAAAATAGTCATGCATCTCGTGGGGGTCCCCTTTGCTATGATGTCAGCCACCAGATTCTGCCTGTGTGCTGGCTGGTGGAGACCCTTTGCTTGGCAGTAAGCACGCTGCTGTACAGGCCACATCCCTGAGCAGCCACTCCCTTCCCTAACCATTTTCTTCCAGAGCATGGGGGGAGTGCTCAGGGCATGCTGTGGAATGGAGGATGGGAACTGAATCACTGTGTGTAACAGATAACATTGCCTGAAGTGGTTCTCTCATGCTGAGTAGCTCCCCTGAAAGCAGGTCTGAGGGCAGGAAGGATGACAGCAGTGCCTGCGGTTCAGGGGGAGCCTCCTGGGCAGTGACAGCAGGGGAGCTCTAACCTGTCTGTGGCCCTGTCACCGAGGAAGGATCCAGGCAGGAAGGAGCTCTCACCCATTCCTGCAGTCAGGGCCACCCTGGGGGTTCAGAGTCGTTTTTATAGTTTTCACGTCTTGATAGGGAAAAGTGCTCTTCTTTTTTTTAGAACATTAAGCTGTTAGTAATAACACGGGGAGTTGCACCTGACTTTTTGCATTTCGGTTGTTTATTTCCCAAACAGTTCTTCGTGGTGGCCAAAGTCACAGCTTTTTCTATGCCTTAGAAATTCTAAAAAAAAAAAAAAATAATAAATTAATAAACCCTGTCAGTAAAAAAATTAGAAATTATGGTAAATAGGTAGGTTTAAGCTTTATTTTTAAGAATACAAAAAATCTTTAGAGAACCAGGAGGCTTCTTCTCTTAGACTAGGCCTTTTGTAAAGAGTCAAAAAGCAACAATAGGCTACAATTATGTAAATGCATGCCTCCTCCTTGTTACTGAAGGGGGTTCTTTTGTTTTTGACTGAATTGATTCCCTCAAGTGATGGCTATTACTTTTTTGGAAGAGTTCACTTGGAACCTAATCTCACTTTTGAAGGAGTTGTTAGGCATCACAAGTCTACACTGCTAGTACACACACCATCATTTCCCAACTTCAAAAAATAAAAAATAAAAATTGCTTCATTTCATTATATAAATGTATTTCTACTTTATCCCTCTCCAATTTCACTTGAAGATGTTTGAATTGATCTCCATGCTTCTGGTGCATTTGGAAATGTATCCAGAAGTGGGCTGGATGGACAGTTTATATGGGAGGCAAAATCTCTGGGAAACGCCTGGGCCCTTAGAGAAACGGCCCCTTTAAAGAAATTCTCGCGATAGCACTGAAGTTTGTCCAGGGATTTGGCTAGATGTTTCTTCAGCTTTAGAAAGTGAAGATGGTGTTTACTCCAGGATGTTTTTGATGTAATATTTAAGATGTTTTCAATGGCTTTGTTATCAAGGGAAGTAGAGTTCACTCCCCTGCTGGTTCAGATGTCCCCTGGCCTACAGGGCTAGAATTCACCTGTGTCTACTCCTGAATTGCGACCTGGAGTAGTATATGCTTATTATGGCTTAAGACAGGACCTACATCAACCACATGGCTAGGAAACTCAATTTTAGGAACAACAAATGTCCATTGTAATGAAACATGTAAATGTCTT